TTTTTTAGGTTGGTAGCAACGTAGACTTGTTCATAATATTGCTAGCATTGAAAATGTCAATTTTTATTCTCCGTTTGTGTATCTAATTAGTCAAGAGTCCCGTCTCTTATTTTATATACTCTTTGTTGGACAAAACGTGGCATTGTAAATTCAAAATTGTACTCCATGTCATGCTGTTTTCGGAATGTTTTAAATTAAAACAAAAATAGATTAGTTCCAATATACTGATGACTTGCTAAAGAGCAGTTAATTTATGAAAATAAAGTTGTTTTATAAGTTTCTTTATCTACGTTCTATTTAATTTTTAATATCGAAAATTATGCAACTTTCTAAAGACAACATAATTTATCAATGACGCTGTTTTGTAAATGTTTTTTTTTCTTCTCTAATAAACTATTTCAAAAAGACTTGGTTTCAAATCTCGTGGCAGCTCAAATTGCAAACGTCACGTAAATGTTATATTCTTTGCTAGATCCTATCTTTGTTGCATGTTGGTTGCATGATGCATTGCGTTGTCGTCAGTGTTGCCATTGCTACGGCAATTACCGTGTTCTATGGCTTTTCAACACAACAAAATATACGGTCTACGGCTGCAACCCATAGCTTGGCTCAAAAATAGGTTTTAAATGATAAATAAGTAAAATAGCTTTTGATTAACATTGATTTGTACCAGAAATAATTGTCTAAAATATTAATGCTTAAAATAGTTTTGGTTGTTATAAAATAAAGAGGGATATTCACAAACATTTCAATGATGTTATTAACGTTAAAACAGCGTTGTTAGGCAAATGTTGTAAAATTTTTCCTTTTTAAAGCATTGCTACTCAACGTTGATCTTTTTACCTTTCTTTTTACACAAACATAATATACATTTGATGTAGGGGCCGGGTAAAAAATGTCATTGGCAACACTGTTTGTGGCAGTCAGTTTGCTTTTCGTCGTCTCTGTTTATGGTTATGACTATAATATTGACTCGAATTTAATAAAATTTACGCTCATATGTTTTTAAAATAACAAAGTGTTGTTTGCAATTAGTTGTCTCATGGTTGCTCTTCTATATAACATATAATAGAAAAATGGAGGACAAAATATTGCTAGAAGAAGTGTGTATTCACACTTTACGAGAAAGAGTGTTTTTCGCAGCAAGAGATGGATTGTCTTTAACATTATATGCTTTGTTATATGAAAAAAATACTGATGAAATTGACGATTTGCTGAATAGGGTAAGTGTTTTTTTAAACCCTTCATATGATGCCATAATCATATCAAAACCCGCAGTAATTTTTTGACGCAGATTCCTGTCATTTAATTTTCTATTTATATCGACATAATTCGTACGTTACCTTTTGCGTATCATGCAATGTTTGCGTTATTTAAAATAATTTTGCGTCGTTTGCAATATATTTATCGAGGTTAATTTATCTCAAGTCCTATTTGTTAATATCATTATGTCCTTGAACAACTATAAAAGCAGTGACTTGAACCAAATTACTCTTACACTACACGTATTTCAAATTCTTAAATATATGATGAAATCATCTTGTGTAATATGATTTATAGTACAGTTTGTTATTGTCCCAGTTAAAAAAATATGCAATTTAATTTCAAGTAATTGATTACTATTGTAATTGTATTGAGAACATGTTTATAGTGCTTTAACAAGAAAGTTATAAAAAGTTGTTGTTATTTTCATAACAGTTTTTAAAAAAGTGCACATAAAATTTGATTTCATTGTGTATTTCGTGTTAAAAAAAACAATAATTTCGGAATCCTACTTCTCATGTTTTATATAAACTTTGTCTTTGTTTACCATGTAAAACAGTTGTTCATAGTAGTTTTAGTGTGTTATGATTTTTTGCTTGTCGAAAATCTTTTCCTCTGTCAAGAAATACAACAAAAGAAATTGAAACATGACATTGAACATTTTCTTAGAGTCTTAAATTAGTACTATGTCAGCTAGTCCTTATTCCACTCTATGGTCTAATACAATAGCTTCTTGTCTCTCAAATTAACACTATTTATTTTTACTGTCTTCCTTAGTCATGTCAACAAACTTGGTACTCGTGTTCTAATAATAGCGGCCTTCCTTTATCCGCATCACATGTGTTGTGTACATGTCATTGACATTGCAACCCATTTATATTTAGACTCATGACCGACTTGAAGCATATACCTTTATTTTCTCTTCCCTTTGCCTTTTGTTTTAAAAAAAAACATGAGAACACATTATATGTATTAAATGTTTTTATGTTTCCTAATTGATAATGGATTGAATTCTGTGGAGATTTGCTTATGCTGTTCAGTATTATAACATATTGGCAGTCGCCTGCAACTTGTCCACCCAGGTTAAAAAAAAATTGTAGGAGCCTATGTGTTTTTTAAGACTATGTTTTTTTTTCATATCATAAGGTGGCAAACGAAGGAGTGGCCACCTGAAAAGCTGATATAGCGAAGTGACCGTTGCCCATAGACATACGCAATTGCATATGCGTTGCCTACCTTTAATCGACGGACGAGAGGATGCACAGAAAGAAAATATAATATATTCCCTTTCCAAGCATCCTCTCATCCGGAAAGTCCACTTCCACTTCCAACATGTTCCAGAAATTCAAAGATATGTGTGAAGTCAACCAACCCCCACTTGGCCAGCGTGGTTGACTATGACCTAATCACCCTTAACTTAGGGTAGGCTCCGAGCCCCTCGGTGGGGACGTATAGTGAGCTGATGATGATGAATGGTTTGCCTTCCCTTAAGAGACATTATATGAGCCCTAATCACAATATCTGTTAGTTTGTAGATGTTTTTTTAACGACGTTGATCTAACGAATATGTTACTATAGACAATTAAATTGTTACATAATTTAAATACTTCTAATATAATAATTGTTTTAGACACAATGTTCAATCTATTGTTGTATTGAATAAATATGATTCCAATCAGATATCTGTAGTCTAAACAATGAACAAAAATGTAAATAATCTTATTGAGTGCAATTGATGAGCCTAACATTATTTTTTAAACATCTTTAAGATGAGGTTTTGATGGTGATAAAAAATCTCCTAGGGACTTGTAGGATTAAAGTGTAACTGAAAGATTTCAGTACTTGAGGAGCTGGAGTAATTTGTTCATACTTGCTTAAATAGAAAATATGTGATAAAAATAATATCACATATTTTCCGCCATAGAAATACTAAACGTTTATTTCTAATAAGGAAGGGGAAAAAGTGAATTTGGTGGGGGTTTATGCATAAGAACTTTCTCCATACTTCTGTTTTGTTCTTTATAGGTATGCAATGCTTGCAACCTTTTGCATTATTATTAGATGTCTTTGGGCAATGGTCTTTGTACTATTTTAACAATTTCATGTACCTCTTTGATAATATACCACATTACTATATAAGGTTATTTTAATATATGATATTAATTTTAGGATATATGTTGGGAGGGTATAAAGTGCACCCCGCTCATAGCCGCCGCGCGACATGGCCGTGAGGCCGCTGTCAGAATGCTTCTAGAAAAGTTCAGGCCTCCTGTCCGATTGGAGACGGAGGGCACTGTCAAGTTTGATGAATATGTTATTGAAGGTTTGTTATATTTATAATCACACTATTGCCTGTGACTTTATCATTGAAAAACTAACATAATTAGTAGAGTATGTGTTCTTCCAGACTATGTTCAACGTCTATGCCAAATTTAATTGAGATCCATGCAGTAATTCTGGAGATACTTTGTAACAAACATCCATCCATCCAAACATTCGCATTTATACTATCAGGATGATAGTAAGATTTTATTCATAATATTTTATCAACCCTGAATAGTATATACTAGTTTTCTTATCTTAGTTCATAATCAATCTTTTCTTAAGTATATCCTTTTTCGTACAATCCATATATTCCTCTGACTTTCTCTAGCCATATAATGGATGTTATTTTAAGATATTTTCATTCTATAATTCTACAAAATAAAAAAAAAATGCACATTTGTTTGTGGTTAGTTATATAAATATGTTTTTGTGTTGCGGTTTTGTTTCCTGTACTGCATGCTTATGTGTAAATATTTGGATGGTATTTAATTAAAGAAAACAAAGACCGTTTGTTCGTTGGATGGAATATTTACAAATTGTGCAACATTGCTAATTTGACATGTATAGTCTTGTAGATATATGAAAGTATGTGATTATTTTGTTGAAGTTAAACAAAGGTATCAAAGATTATTCATTGTGGCAAGAACATTGACTTTTATCCTTGTTTTCGTGTTGGTACAAAGAAGTTAGGATGTACCACATAATAGTAAAGTGACAATACATTTATAAAATGCGGGATATTCCTATAACTACATTTCCAACCAATGCTGTAATTTGACATCTAGGCAGTTAAAAGGAAATTCTTCAAATGAAACAATATTTTATTAATTCTTATGATTAACCTTTTTCATATTTAAATGTGTTTATTCTTTATTGTTTCTCACATTTGAAGGTATCCGTTGGAATAAACGTTTATATGTAAATTTTACTAAAATAATTATCCTTCAAATGAGTCTTGTTCTTGAATGAGTCAACTTTTGACGTAGTCTTGTCACCCTAGCGTGGACTTTTTGTATCTGGCATTAATCCAGAAAAGTCTTTGTTTCCCTCGTATGACTTATCGTAATTAATTCGGCGTAAGGTGTTATAAATTAAATTGGCATTGCCGTACGATGTAAAGTCGTAATCGTCGTAGTCTCGTGTTTCTTTGAAATCGAAAGCTCTACTAATATAGTTTCGTAGAAACGCAGGCAATCGTTTTAATATAGAATCTATGTTATTGCGTTTGTTTTTTCTTTGTGACGAAAGTTTAAAAACAAAAGATATTTTTAAATTTCTAATATTAGCTTGATTTAATATTCCTTAATATTCCTTTGTGATTAGTAAGTGACCACTCTTAATTATCTACATTTGTAAAGTGTAAAAACATTGAGTATTTTTATACAAGGAATGACAATATAAGGGACTAGCTGTCGCCCGCGTCTCTGTTCGAGGGGATTGAAAAAGAAAGTTAAAAAGTATCCTATGTGTTCTTCCAGACTATGCTGGTACATGCTATGCCAAATTTTATCTAGATACGTTCAGCCGTTCTGGAGATACTTTCAAAAAAACATCCGTCCATTCTTCTTAACATTCGCATTTATAATATTAAGATTTAAAAATCTGAAAAAAAAAAGTTGAATGTAATTTCATCATGTCATGTTCTTGTTCCAAAATATACTTTAATGAATTTCTAATTCTTGATAATCACGGACTGATGATAGCTTTGGCCACACAATAACGGAGTTGATGATGTTTCGTTTACTATTAATAATATAATTTCCAGGTGCAACAGCTCTCTGGTGTGCAGCTGGTGCTGGCCACTTAGGCATCGTTAAACGATTAGTGCGTGCTGGAGCTAACGTCAATCATGCGACAAAGACACTGAGCACACCACTCCGAGCGGCCTGCTTCGACGGTCGACTGGACATCGTTAAATATTTAGTACGACATGGCGCTGATATACATAAAGCGAATAAATATAATAATACATGCCTCATGATAGCAGCGTATAAAGGACATTTAGATGTGGTAAGTTGAATATCGGTGCGTCGGTAAGAGCGTCGGCCCAATCCGGTAATAATAAAGTAACGGCCCGAGCCGAGGTTCCTGAGGGAGCCCTCGAGCTTAGTTACTCTTAAACGAGGTTTAGGGCTAAGTGCAATCTGCGCTCGTCCACCTCAAGCCCGGTGAAGCTGTAAGGGCCTCCTCAAGGCAAACAGTGGCAATTCAGTCACAAAAAAAAGAGCGACGGTGGCTTGTAGTCTGCAGGTCCTAGGACCGAATCCCGCCATTCGACTATTGTCGTAAGCCATATCCTAGCACAAGCCTATAGTTTAGTTGGATTGGTATAAAAAATATTATTACATTTACAAAAATCTGCTTATATTTCTTTAAAAAAATATATATACAAGCTGCGTCTTTGGTTTGGTTACTGTTCCGCGTTGTTGTATCAATGGGTAAAAAATAACTGCTAAGGGAACATACACATACTACGTGACCTATTTTTATAGTTTTTTCGACGCCCCTCCCCTCGGTGACCACTCGTAGTGCTTGCCAAGACGGGGTTCTTTAGTTTTTACGTAGTAATTCATTATTATTATTTTTAATAATTTCACAGGCAAAAATTGAAAAAAAAAATAATTTTCTTCTTCTTTATTGCATAAAACGGTATGCATAGTTAAATTACTAGTGAATTATGTATTATGAAAAATAACAACTAACGACTACGCGACAAAAACCTGAGCCACCCCCCCCCGCACCTGTGACTGACCGTAGTAT